AGCTCCCTCCCCCTTTGGTCTCTCTCTGTTAAGCCGCTAAGTCAGTCCGGGCGTTTCCTGCCTTTGGAGAAGACTGGAAGGCGGTGAGCTTTGGGGTGAGGAGGGGGGAAGGGGGAGGAGGAAGATTAGGGGGTCGTGAAAGGCTTTGCCTTCGGAGGGGCGGGTTTTGGGGGTGCATTTTTAAAATGAGCCACATGCTCCGTGCAATCGCCAACCGCTCATGGGGGGGGGGGCTTCGATCGCCCCAGGGCGCCTCCTTGACTTGAGGATCCATAGGGTCGCTCCCGGTCCTGCCGTTCCTGGATTATTATATAAATCCCCCTCAACCCTCGTTTTTTAGAGTTTTCCATTTGGGGATATTCAAGGAAGAGCCAGGATGTCCGGGTGGAGGAGGGGGGGGAGATCTTACCCTCAAGGGGGGCAGAGAGACAAAGCTCCCCCCAATGTCCCCTCCGTGCAAGGCATCCGGGTGGGTGACCGGCGCTCCTGCTGGTTTTTCCTGCGAGGAGACCCCTCTCCCCTGCATCCTGCCTCCACTCGTCAGTGCAAAAAAAGGGATGAGAGAAAGTCACTGGGGTCCCCCCTGAGTTTCGCCTTCTCCCACTCAGGTTTCAAGGGGCCCCATTGGCGAAACCTTGGGAGGGTCCGTCTAAGGCTTTCCGAACCTCTGGTGATGCACAGCAGATCATCTGGATCGCTCAGGATCAAGTCCCGGATGGTGGTTCTTTTGCACCCTTGACTGACCTGGCGTTTGGCAGCAAGAGTTTACACCCAGAGGGTTGGTCACCCAGGCTATCGGAGCTGTTAAGTTTGGGGACAGGTTAGGGGCAATCAATATCCTTTCTCCCTTTCTCTCTTGCATACCATATCTTCCCCTGCCCTGAACAAGTCCTAGTATAGCTGCTCCCTGATTTCCAACCCCCCCCACACATATACACACTATGATCTTTACCATCAAAACACATCCTTTCACAAGCAGACAAAGAGCAGGTGAGCTGCTTCTCCCCAGAGTTGGCTGGGAGAGGGGGAAAGATCTCCCACAAGAATGAAATGGAGGAGGGGAGCATTTAGTGGTGCTTTAAAACCTTCAGGGAGGAAGGAGTCCGGAGACGTAGTTGTCCTTTATAAAGCTCCCTCAGAGGCGGGGGCTCAGGTTCTTCGGCTCGACTGCACTGTGGGCGCTGCAGAGGTGCTGCCTCGGCAGGTGAGGTTCTTTTTATGCTTTCAGGAAGGGAACGAGACCATTCAAGGAGCCCCAGGTGTTGACAAACTCCTGGCTTCTTCTGCTGACACCAGAAATTGAGGGTAGGAGGGAAGAAATACAACCCATAAGATGTCCCATTCTTACTCATTATATTATAAACAAGGACACAAAATTACCATTCGTAGGAGGGTTCTTGAGGTCCATGCAGCATTCAAAAATGGGTTTGCAATTCCCATGCAGGGATTTGACCCTTTCAAAGACATCCTAGATTTCAGGCTAATGGGCTGGATCAGTCCCTGCCCACTCAGCTCACCTTCACCTACAGCCCCCAAACCGTTTTTCTGGAGCCCCTCCTTCCCTTAAGAGGGAGGCATGTTCTGTAGTTCTCTGCTTCCCACCATCTTGTCCAGCTAACCTGAATGACCAAATTTTAATTGGGGTCCGTGAGAGGCCCCTCCATCTTCTTCTTTGTCTTTCCCTGCTCCTTCTTTATAGTTTCTTCATTAGCTGCCTTTCCATTTTCTTTTTCCTGATTTCCAAAGGAGGGAGAGAGAGAGAGAGAGAGATGGAGATGTATACAGTGGTGCCTCGCTTGATGAGGATAATTCGTTCCATTGAAACCGCTGTTAAGTGAAATCCTCGTCTAGCAAAATGAAAAAGCCCATTGAAATGCATTGAAAACTGGTTCAATGCATTCTAATGGGTTAAATACTTAAGCATCCATCGAAGATCCTCCATAGGGGCGGCCATTTTCGGTGCCTGTAAAGCGAGAAATCCATCCTAAAGCACAGCAGTGAGCCATTTTGCACAGTGGATGGCCATTTTAGAGCCGCTGATCAGTTGTTTTAGAATCATCGTCTAGTGAAAAATCGTTTCCCGAAGCAGGGAACTGATCATCGTCAAGCGATCGCAAAAACTCGTAAAGCAGATTTGTCGTTTAACATAATCATTAAGCGAGGCACCACTGTATATGAAAACTACAAAGCCACACACTATTAAGAAGTGTCTTTTGTTTGATTTATCCAAGATGCCTCCAGACTGATCACTCCAAAGCAGGGGACCAAAAGGGAATGACCCAGTTCCAAATCCCTCTTAACATTTTCAAGGTAAGTAAGATGTCATACCGTACAATCATGACGTTGGAAGGAAACTTATAAGGTCATATAGCCCAATCAACAGCTCAATACACTCTACACGGGGCTGCCCTTGAGATTGATGCAGAAACTAAAATGGTTCAGAACATGGCCGCCAGACTATTAGACGAGGTGAAAAAATATAATCACATTTTCCACCATTCTGGTGGCCTTACACTGGTTGCTCATTTATTTCTGCATTAACTTCAAGTGTTAATGCTTACCTATAAATCTCTAAACACTTTAGGATCTCAATACCTGGAAAGCACCTGTTCTCACCTAGCTCGGCTCCTGTCACTCGATCTTGCCAGGCTGGGCGGCTGAGAAGCTTGACCCCAAGAGAGGCCAGGAGGGAGAGAACCAGAAACCGGCCCTTCTCCGTGGTGGCCCCTTGCTTCTGAAACATCTTTCCCCCTGAGATTTGCTTGGCTACCTCGCTGGGAGTTTTTAAGAACAAGCTGAAGACTTGGTTCTTCAGAGAAGACTTTGCAGTTCAATTTAATTTTATTCAAGCACTATCTGGTGACTCAAGCCATTTATATAATATATCCCATCGTTCAGTTGCCTTTTGAATTGGACAGTCTTTCAACACTTCTGATAGAATATCCTGAATTGGTCTAAGTGATAGGCCTCTTCCTAGTATCTCACCTTACCAATTTGCAGCATTTTAATAATCTAAAGTGGAGGCCATCCTCCGGGAGCTTTCTACTTTTTTGGATGTAGTGGACCGAGCAGAGATGTTCGGTGCTCCACCTTGCCCAATGGGTTTTGATCTCTTTCGGCCACTGACGCCCGAAATGGTGGACAAAGCGCTTGACCACTGTCGGGCCACCGCCTCATCCCTTGACCCTTGCCCAGCCTGGCTAATCAAACCTGCCAAACCTATAACAACTGAATGGGCCACAGGAATATTTAATGGGTCTTTCCTGGAGGGCAGGGTTCCCCCTGCCCTCAAGGAGACACTCATTAAGCCCATTGGAAAGAAACTGAATTTGGCGGTGGATGAAATTGATAGTTATAGGCCCGTTGCCAATCTTTCTTTCATGAGTAAAGTGGCGGAGAGGGGGGTGGCTGATCGGCTTCAGGCACATTGGGATGAAACAAATGCCCTGGACCCATTCCAGTCGGGCTTAAGGGCATGCCATGGTACAGAAACGGCATTGGTCGCCCTGTTGGATGACCTATTGAGGGAGGCCGACAGAGGTAAAACGTCTCTGCTGATCCTCCTCAATATCTCAGCTGCCTTTGATACCGTTGACTATGGTATCCTCCTGAGGCGGCTCTCTGAGCTGGGAATTGGTGGCCTGGTGTTTGCCTTGCTCCGATCCTTCTTGGAGGACCGCCCTCAGAGAGTGCAGCTTGGGGAGAGGGATTCGGCCCCATGGAGCCTCAATTGTGGAGTCCCGAAGAGTTCGATAACCTCCCCAATACTGTCTAATATCTATATGATGCAGCTGGGTGGGGTCATCAGGCGGTGTAGGGCTTCATGCCATCAGCTCTACATCTCCTTTTCTCCAATTACAGTGGAAGCCGTTCTGTCCCTTCAGCGCTGTTTGGGGGCTATTCTGCAATGGATGCAGGAAAATGGGCTGAACCTGAACCTGGACAAGACGGGGTCCTGAGAGTGGGTGGTTTGTGAAAGTCCCTCTCTTTTGGGGTGGGTGACTCATCCCGCCAAGGATGGGGTCCGCAGCTTGGGGATACATCTGGACTCAGCGCTCACCATGGAAACTCAGTTGGCATCAGTGGCCCATCCATCTTTGCCCGGCTGCATCCCTATCTTGATGTTGGGGCACTCACCACTCTGGGCCATGCGCTTGTAATCTCCAGATTAGATCACTGTAATGCGCTCTATGTGGGGCTGCCTTTGAGATTGATGCGGAAGCTTCAGATGGTGCAGAATGCGGTGGGCAGACTCATTATTGGGGTTAGAAAACATCAACATATGACTCCCATTCTGGCTGCCTTGCATTGGATGCCTGTTCGGTTCCTCACTGATTTCAAAGTTTTAATGATTACATGCAAAGCCCTAAACAGTTTAGGACCTCGATGCTTGGCGGAACGCCTCCTCCCTCCTAGATCTACTTGTATCACTCGTTCTAGCCAGGAGGGGCGACTGAGGAGCCTGACGCCGAGGGAGGTCCGGAAAGAAAAAAACAAGAAAGCGGGCCTTCTCGGCATTGGCTCCCCGTCGGTGTGGAACAATCTCCCTTCTGAGATCCGCTTGGCCCCTTTGCTGGGCAGCTTCAAAAGTCAACTTAAGACCTGGCTATTCAGACAGGCTGTCCCTCCAGGCACCACATAATATCTTCTGATTTCCATCTTGGATGATTGTTAATCTCTGTAAATGATGGTATAACTTATGTTAATTGTTTTTATGTTCTTTGTTGTGAGCTGCCCAGAGTAGACTGGATTAATCGTGTTACAACTCATTTCAATGGGAAATGGTGTTTCGATTTATGACCATTTCAAGTTACTTCCATCTTCTGGAATGGATCATGGTCGTAAGTCGAGGCACCTCTGTACTCAATTGAATCTGGCTCCCTGAGTGCATGAATTAGAGTCCTACACTCTAGTAGGACTGAGAACAGATCCTGCCCCTCTAAATTTCAAGTACGTACAGTGGTGCCTTGAGTAGCGAGCGCCTCTATTAACGAAAAAACCGAATTTGTTTTTTAGGGCATATTTAAGCCTTGACTAGCGATTTTTCCTGTGGGCGATTTTCAAATAGCGATCTTCAATGGTTTCAATGCATTTCAGTGGAGGAACCGCAGTTCGTGTTCGCTACTTTTAAAGGGTTTAAAGTTAAGGTTTTCTCTTTAAAATGTTTGAGATCGTAAAGTGCAGTTAATAAATCCTTTGTTAACCCAATTTGACCTTGTTCTGACTCTTTGTTAAAATTGTAAGTTCTTTGATTATATATATATATATATATATTGTTTTTATCTATGTAAATTGTATATATTTTAAATTGTTTTCTATTTGTTTGTTGTGATGTGCCCAGAGTAGACCATGTCTAGATGGGTGGCATATAAATGCAATAAATAAATAAATTGGTTAATTTGTGGTTGATTTCCCCCCCCCCTTGATATGCATTGAATAGGGTTTAATGCATTTCAATGGAGGAACCGCTCTTCGTGTTCGCTACTTTTAAAGGGTTTAAAGTTAAGGTTTTCTCTTTGAAATGTTTGAGATCGTAAAGTGCAGTTAATAAATCCCGTGTTAACCCAATTTGACCTTGTTCTGACTCTTTGTTAAAATTGTAAGTTCTTTGATTATATATATATATATATATTGTTTTTATCTATGTAAATTGTATATATTTTAAATTGTTTTCTATTTGTTTGTTGTGATGTGCCCAGAGTAGACCATGTCTAGATGGGTGGCATATAAATGCAATAAATAAATAAATTGGTTAATTTGTGGTTGATTTCCCCCCCCCCTTGATATGCATTGAATAGGGTTTAATGCATTTCAATGGAGGAACCGCTCTTCGTGTTCGCTACTTTTAAAGGGTTTAAAGTTAAGGTTTTCTCTTTGAAATGTTTGAGATCGTAAAGTGCAGTTAATAAATCCCGTGTTAACCCAATTTGACCTTGTTCTGACTCTTTGTTAATTTGTGGTTGATTCCCCCCCCCCTTGAGGTGCATTGAATAGGGTTCAATGCATTTCAATGGCAAACCACGTTTCGAATAGCAAGTTTTTGAATAGCGATTTTTTTTTACAGAACACATTAACCTCGCTATTCAAGGCACCACTGAATTTGAAGCGTGCGTTCATATCACCCTTCAGTCTTCTTTCCTGAAGGCTCATCATGACCATTTTGTTCAGTCTTTCCTCCTGGGGCTTAGTTTCTAGTTCCTCCTCAGTCGTCCTTACTGCCTCCTCCCCTCTGAGCCTGTTCCCATTGACCGGCATCTTTCTTAAAGGGCAGAACTGGACACCGTAGTCTATAGGAGGCCTAGCAAGTACCAAGTAAGAAGGAAGGAAGGAAGACATGAGGTGATGTGGAGACAACATCCCTATGAATGCAGCTCAAAAGATCCTTTATTTATTTATCATTTTTGCAGCTAGTTCCCATAATTACAGAAAGGTAGTCAATTCCCCATCACAAATGGGGAACAACAGGCAGAAATTATGCTTGTTGAGTATTCCCAGCGGTTATGTACATTTATGAGGAAAAGGACAATTTCTGCCGGCTGCATAGCTTTAAGAAAACACAGGTGTCTGTTCAGAAAAGTGAAACAACTCCACTCTTCAGCCACAGATTCCCGGTTTGTGTTCCTAGGCACAGGATGGAGATTAGAGCGGAGAAGACCAAGTGGTTCTGTATGGCTTCAATTGTTTTACATTTTACTTATAAAAGTATTTTAGTATTGATTTTTATGAAGTTTGAACTAGGGAATTAGTTGTTCTTTATCAGCCAAGCTGTGATTCTGAGTTCTGCTAGGATGGATGAGAAGACTTTCCTGCATTGAGCAGGGGGTTGGAATTGATGGCCTTTTAGGACCCCTCCCAATTCACTTTAATTCTATGGATGGGAAGAAAGAAATATTCCTCTGTGGGTTTCATGAGTGACGGCAATCTTTCTGTCAAATCCATCATCTGTTCGCTAAGCTATTCAGCATACCTAGACAGCCTGTGGATCTTCCCTGCATATTTGGGTCTAAATCCCGTGCACCCGTGGAACAATACCAGCATTAAAATGGCGAGTTGTAGACCATGGTCCCATTTCTTTCCTCCCTTATGACAATCTGGCCTCACAAAAATCTCAGAGAGGAAATGAATACAAAAAGAAGATACATATAGAAAGTGGAAGGAAGGCAAGTTCACTAAGGATAGAGGAGGAGCAATGATTAGCCAAGAATGGCATTAGGAAGGCAAAAGCTGAGAATCAGCTCAGCTACAAGCAAAAAAACATTATTCATTCTGTAGCAAAAGATAGAAAAATGAAACAGCAACTCAATGTGTATGGAAAATCCTGCCAGACTAATCCCACTTTTGGATTGGCTAACCAAACAGTTCACCAAAGATAACCTCATGTAGCGCATGTTACAGTCGCCGAGTCAGGAAGTAACTAAGGAATGTGAGAATATGGCCAGCTCAGATGTCTCCAGGAATGGGCACAGCTGGCACACTAGTTTAAGTGTCCAAAGGCATTCCTGGCCACCACCAACAACTGGGCATGCAGGTTCACAGATGATTGCAGGAGCATCCCCAAACTTCACACCTGAGTTTTCAGGAGTACTGTAACCCTATGAAGTATAGATTGAATCCCTATTCTTTCATCTGCCCTTCGGCTGACCTACAGCATCTCTAATGGATTTGTTTGCTGTTTATTTGGGCTCATCCTGTCCACTGATGATCAGTGTTAATATTCAGAGTTCAGTTTCGTCTGCATAGTGATGACACTAAAATCTGAAACTCCTCTCCAAGCTAGGCTTGATCTTTTGAAAGGATGCTGACAAACTAGGAGAGGTTCAGAGAAACGAAAGAAGGATGATTGGGGGACTGGAAACCAAGCCCTATGATGAGAGACTGCAAGAACTGGACAGTTTTTGCAGGACAGAGGGGAGATCTGATAGCAGTTTTCAAATACTTGAAAGGCAGTCTTGAAAGAGGAGGGGCAGGAAACAATAGAGAAACCCTGATTTTGATTGAATGTTAAGAAAAAACTCTTAAGCATTAGAAGAGTCTGATAATGAAATCAATGATCTCAGGAAGCAGTGTGAAAATCAAGATGACCAGATTGCTAATATATGCTAATTGTGATTCCTGGAGAGGGGGTATCAATGAACCTATATAATTATAAAATCTTAGAAAAATGAAGTTGGTAGGGGCCTACAAGGCCATCATATCCAACCCCCTGTTCAACACAGGAATACAATGAAAGCATATCTACAAGTTTTTCTTGAGTACTTCAGTGTTGGAGCACTCACCAACTCCCGAAGTAAATGGTTCCACTGCCGTATTGCTCTATAGGCCTCTTCCAACTAAATTCTTCTATGATTCTATTATTAAGAATACCTGAACCATTTCTGCATGTTCTTAATCTGTTCTGTGCTATTTTCATCTTTTTCTTTAATCAGATTACATACCAGGACAACCAGAATTCTGTTTCTTCAGTTATTTGGACAGGGACAAGAACCCAGTGTGAAGCAGGAGAAGAACACAGTTAGACACCGAAAAGGAGATAGAAAGACAGAATGGAAGCCAACCAAGGACATGGAAGAGTACACCTAAAAATTTCAAAGAGTACTAATTTTTACAAACTCCTGATGATTGGGAAAACATCAAGGAAAGGGAAGGAGAAGGTGCATCACGGGTAGAAAAGCATTCAAATGAACTTCTGATTTCAATAGACATGGCTAGGTCTACCGAAAACTTAAATCAATGAATGGAGCATATAAAGACCATGAATATGAACACTAATTTATCAGGTGAAGAACTCATCAGAGGGGGGAAGGAGTATAAATGCCTCCCTTCCGGAAAGAGATTCAACCAAAGGAGTACTCTGAGTTCACATCAAAGAACCCATACAGGGGAAAAACCATATAAATGCGTGGAATGTGGAAAGAGCTTCAGTCACAGCAGTACCCTTAGTTTGCATCAAAGAACTCACACAGGGGAGAGACAATATAAATGCATAGAATGTGGAAAGAGCTTCAGTTGGAGCACTGCTCTTAGCTCACATCAAAGAACTCACACAGGGGAGAAACCATATAAATGCATGGAATGTGGAAAGAGCTTCAGTCAGAGTAATAATCTTAGGTCACATCAAAGAACTCACACAGGGGAGAAACCATATAAATGCATGGAATGTGGAAAGAGCTTCAGTCAGAGTAATAATCTTAGGTCACATCAAAGAACTCACACAGGGGAGAAACCATATAAATGCATGGAATGTGGAAAGAGCTTCAGTCAGAGTGGTGACCTTAGGTCACATCAAAGAAGTCACACAGGGGAGCGACCGTATAAGTGCATGGAATGTGGAGAGAGCTTTAATAAGAGGGATCATCTTAAGTCACATCAAAGAGGCCATACAGGGGAGAAACCATATAAATGCATGGAATGTGGAAATTGTTTCAAGCATAGTGGTGGCCTGAATTCACATCAAAGAACTCATACAGGGGAGAAACCATATAAATGCACGGAATGTGGAAAGTGTTTCAAGCATAGTTGTGGCCTGAATCCACATCAAAGAACTCATACAGGGGAGAAACCATATAAATGCATGGAATGTGGAAAGAGCTTCATTTGGAGGAATACCCTTAGGTCACATCAAAGAACTCACAAAGAGGAGAAACCCTATAAATTTATGGAATGAGAAAAGAGTTTCATTTGTAATGATCATCTGAATACACATTCAGCAAGTACCCCTCCGCTTTTCCTCTCCTTTCACTGCTACTCATCTCCCTGATACACTATTGTTACTGATGGTGCGCCTCCCAGAGGTGTGATTACCTTTCAGCAACCTTCCAGAACCTGCAAAATCTGCTTTACTTCCACTCAGACCTCTGCCCACTGTGCAGAACTTGCTGCTGTCATCCTTGCCTTTCAAATGATTCAAGATCCACCTTTAAATCTCATTGTAGACACTCAATATGTATTAAACCTTCTCACTCATCTGTCACATGCCTATCTTTCTCCTGATCTTCACTTTTCTTTACGTTCCCTGTTTTTGACTTTAAAAAACCTCACTACCAGATTACAACCTTTTTTTGCATCTCATATCCGATTTCATGCTGAATTTCAAGATGCTATCTGAGAAGGAAATTACCATGTTGACTCTGCTCTTCATTCTTTATGGCCCCCGCTTTTTCAGTCCTATTGACAGTCACTCCTTTTTTTTATCAGAGTGCTAAACAATTCCATAAGCAATTTTCTATTTTGCTTTTTGAAGCTCGAGACTTTGTCTCCTGCTTTTCCTGTTCCATGTCTCCCATTTCCTTTCCTTTTGATGTTCCTGCCCTTTCTCCTCTTTCTTATGTCCATCTAACTATTGATACTTATTCAGGATACATCTGGGCTACCCCTCTTCATGTATGACCTCTCGCCATGTCATGCAACATTGTTTACATACATTTGCAGTAATGGGCCAGCCTCAAGCCTTAAAAACAGACAATGGCCCTGCCTATATTTCTCATGACTTTACCACTTTCTGCAATGAATAGGACGTTCGACTTTTCCATGGTATGCCTTATAACTGCACAGGACAGGCTATTGTAGAACGAGCACACCGCTCTTTTAAATTTCTCCTTTCCAAACAAACAAAAAAAGAGCGATTAAGCCCCAAGATGTTCCAGATGTAATATCAATAGCATAATTCACATTAAATCATTTAACTGTATTTGCAGGTTGGCATAAGTTGTGGCCAGTAGAGAAACACATTTGTAAAGAAATCCCCATTGAACGGATGCTGGTGACTTATAAGCAACCTCCTGACACTCAATGGGAGGGTCCAGCCCCTTTATTAACAGAGGGCCATGGCTATGCTGCTTTGCTTACTCCCACAGGTCGTGTGTGGATCTTGGCTCAGTGTGTGAGACCATATCCTGGGAAGAATGAGTTGGCATTGCAATCTGCAGAAGCCAATTCCAGAATTCAACCCAGCAGGATCAGATGACTGTGCGGTGCCAGAAGCGCCGGGCCCAACGTGGAGGCTCTCAGCCGAAAGTTACTTGGAGGATGATAAAGACACCGAGTGCTGATGTAAAAAGAACTCTAAATCAACAGCAGATTCTGGAAACTCCTAAAACTTTTCTAGCAGCCATTATCATGCAGCTGAATGCCAACTCCGTGAAACTGTTGTCTTTTGTTTTCATTCTTAGAGCTGTTCCAATAGGTGTCACAGAGGCTTGAGAGGATTTACATGCTCGTCTGCAATTTGACTTATAGGAAAGGTTGGCGGAAATTGTGAATGTTTCTCACTTCTGTCTGCAGGAGGCATATGCTATGCATGGATTACTAGGAACTTGCTTAATTCCTGCCTCTAAAGAACCTTGCAACATTACTAATGACACTTGGCTAGGACAGTGGTTGAATGCCACTGTCATTAAGTATATTAATTCTCCTGACTGGGGGCGAATAACAAAAATGCTACCCATTTTAAAAATTTTTTATTATCGGTAAGCGAGTGCAGGGCGCAAAAATGCTGCGGATGGCCATTTTCTTGATCTGGTGGCCATTTTGGAACCGCCGATCAGCTGGTCCTCCAAAGCCTCAGCCAGCTGGGCAAAAGTGCCGGTGGGCGCTTCAGAAGGACGGTGGGGGATCCCTCCCCCGTGGTCCTTCCGAAGCACCTGCTGGTCAGCTGGGTGAAAATGCCAGCTGAGGCTTTCCCCGTGGTCCTTCCGAAGCGTCCGCCGGTCAGCTGGAAGAAAATGGCAGCTGAGGCTTTGCGAGGACCACGGGGGAGCCCTCCCCCATGGTCCTGAAGCGTCCACCAGCATTTTCGCCCAGCTGACCGGCGGGCGCTTCGGAAGGACCGCAGGGGAGGGTTTCCCCGCGGTCCTTCTGAAGCCCCCGCTGGTCAGCTGGGGGAAAATGGGGCCTATAGGGAAAAATCGCAAAGCAATTTTTCCCCATAGGGAACATCGCATTGCGACCACAAAATCCGCATTAAATGGGGTGCCTGTTAAGCGAGGCACCACTGTACTCATATTTTGTATCTCTATTTCAAAATGTCTAAATTAGTATCTTACATTCTAAATTTGTAATACAGTGGTGCCTCGCTTAATGGGCGCCCCGTTTATTGATGAAACCGCATACTGATGAACTTTTTGCGATCGCTTTTGCAATCGCAGTGCAATGTTTTAAATGGGAAAAAATCGCTTTGTGATGATCGGTACCCTGTTTCCCTTACTGATCATCGCAAAGCGGCGGTTCCAAAATGGCCACCAGGTTAAAAAAATGGCCGCCTGCTGTGTTTTTGCGCGGATTCCTCGCTTACCGGGCAGCGAAAATGGCAGCCATATGGGGGATTTTCGCTTTAAGGTGAGTTTTAAGCCCATAGGAACGCATTGAAGGCGTTTCAATGCCTTCCTATGGGCTTTGTAAAATTGCTTTGCAGCAATTTTTGCTGCACTGATTAACGTCGCTATGCGAGGCACCATTGTAATTGTATAAATTCTTTCACCTGCATTACCATCTATCCAGTACTCATCATAAACATTCCTAATTCTATCTTTAAGATTGTTTATCCACCAATAAGATCCATGCCAGGATGATACATTCCTGAAAAATCTCCATTTTTGGAAGGGGGCGGAGCAACGAGCAGCGAGAATAGGGGAAATTCCAGGGTTCTGGATTCCCTTGGGTTTACTCCGAGTCAGAGGACCCCCCAGGAGAAGGGGGGCTTTGGAACCACCGAATCTCAGATGGCAGTCTTTTTTGGAAGAATTCCCTTCTTACACGCAATCTGTCTCATGACATCGCCATGATGGTGAGTTAGCTGCTCAGAGAGGGAAGGTATAAAATTTATTATCTGACTGCAGAACAGAGATTAATGATCTGCTGCTAAGATACAGCAAGTAAAAGATCAAATCTGCTCTGTGAAAGCTGATGAGAAGGAAGATATCAAGCGGCATAAGTTTGTTAATGCCTGTAACATTGGAGTTTTCTTACTATGTCACAGCTCAGAAATGAAACCAACTCTGCTCATTTTCTCTCCTAACCCTTCCTCCCAGAGAAACTGGCTTTTCATAAATCTATAAAGGCAGGACTTAAGAACTCTAAATAACTGCATAATTTAACCTATGTGACTCTGTATCTAGCTACAAGGTGGATTATAAACCAAATAACATCCTTGGGGTCCCCCTTCGTAAGACTTTAAGTGTGGACTAGCTAATAAATCATGTGGGAAATCTGAGTAATTAACCTGCTGACTGCTACAGCCATGGAAGGAGGGAGAGACTCATTATTGCAACCCACAATGGATTATATCAAGGGACTTCTTCAAGAATGTCAATTTGATATAATCAATTATTTCGAGGCTAATCTTGAGATCAAAACAGACTTGAAGATGACTTTTTCTGCTCTGCACGAAAAGATAGAGAGTAAAGACAAACAACTTAACCAAATCTTTAATGAACAGCCATTAATGTCAGAGGGAGAGATTGCCTCAAAGCAGTACAGACAAATAATGGAATTTATTCAACAGCTACCATTGTCAGAGAGAAGAAGAAGACTCCTTTTCTTCAAAAGATGCCTTAAAAAGATGAAAGGGGGGGCTGGGAAGGGAGAAAATATCTCAAGACTGTTCTGAAAAGAAAGAATGGAAAAGGGGAGAAATGGGCAAAGTTGAGGGCAGAAATTTACAATCGGAGATTACACACCATGTTGCTCCAAAACCAAACCACTGACTACATGGGAATGAAAGTAGTCAACTGTATAGAAAATGTCTTAAAGAAATATTATAAATGGCATTTTAAAACTGGGGAAAAAATGAATGAATAAAGGAGGCAAGAGGCCAATTTTGGTTTGATAACACTGAAGATGGATATACGAAGTAATATGACTAATATACTATAAGCAAATTCGGCCAGAGATGAAATTTAACGTTAGACAAGCACATGTAACCCATGAATTTTAGAAATGATGAAGAATAATAATACTTTGTGTGTGAGGCACGTATATTGAGGCATTAAATATGTGTGATTATCATAGTGACAATGTTGACAAGATTAGAGAGGCCAGTCCTGGTTTGATAACACTGAGTTGATAAATAAAAATGAAAAAGGAGGAAGTTACTTTCTGAATAAATAATAGAAATCAATTGGTTTAATATCTATATAATTAACATATAAAGCCAACATGACTAATATACTATAACAAGACTATATGTGAACTTACAATTATCTTAACATTATCTTACATCATCAGCGTACATTCGTGAAAGACTATCTGCCACAATGTTTAATTTTCCCGGAATATGTTGTACTTCGAAATCAAAGTCTTGCAGGGCTAGACTCCATCTTAGCAATCTTTGGTTGTGAGATTTGATTTTCTGTAACCAAGCCAAAGCTCGGTGATCAGTTTGAAGAGTAAATTTACGCCCCCATAAGTAAGGTCTTAACAGAGTCAATGCCCAGAAAACAGAAAGTGCCTCCTTCTCCGGTACGGCATAATGTTTTTCTCATTCTAGGAGTTTTCTTGAAAAGTAGGAGATAGGATACAGGTTCCCATCTTCCCCTTGTTGTAATAATACGGCTCCAAGGCCCAATTCTGAGGCGTCTGTTTGTAAAACAAATGGCTTGTTAAAATCTGGTGATTTTAGAATAGGTGCATCGATGGCTTTGGCCTTTAAGGCATCAAAAGCACTTTGACATTCCGGGGTCCATTGCACCTTGACAGGCTGTCTTTTCTTAGTTCGCTCAGTCAAAGGTGTAGCCAAATGACTAAAATTGGGTATGAATTTTCTGTAGTAACTAATTAAACCTAAGAATGAACGCACCTGTTTCTTTGTTTTAGGAATAGGCCAATCTTTTATAGCTAAGTACATCTCTATGTAAATACAGTGGTGCCTCACTTAACGTTTGCTTCGTTTAACGTTTTTTTCGCTTAACGTTTATTTTTTCAGAGGCAGATTGTGCTTCGTATAACGTTTTTCCCTATGGGCGATTTTCGCATAGCGTTTTTGGGACCATGCTTCGCTTAACGTTTTTGGTTTTAGGTCCCCTGCTTCGCTTAACGTTTTTTTTGTTTTCAATTTAAAAAGTGTCTTAGAAGGGTCCAAAACGGTTCTAAATGCTTGGATTCGTTAGAGGACCCCTTAAGTCATGTGCAAACCTGATTTGGCTTTGATCTGAACTTTCGTTAATTTTTTGTAAATTGTTTTCTCCCCCATAGGAAAGCATGGAGCTGTCAGATTTTGACAGGTCCATTGGTTCCTATGGGCCAAAAAACAAAAATTCACAAAAAATTAACGAAACGTCAGATCAAAGCCAAATCAGGTTTGCACATGACTTAAGGGGTCCTCTAACGAATCCAAGCATTTAGAACCGTTTTGGACCCTTCTAAGACACTTTTTAAATTGAAAACAAAAAAAACGTTAAGCGAAGCAGGGGACCTAAAACCAAAAACGTTAAGCGAAGCATGGTCCCAAAAACGCTATGCGAAAATCGCCCATAGGGAAAAACGTTATACGAAGCACAATCTGCCTCTGAAAAAATAAACGTCAAGCGAAAAAAACGTTAAACGAAGCAAACGTTAAGCGAGGCACCACTGTA